ATGGTGCCACATGTGGCACCATATTATGGTGCCACATGTGGCACCATATTATGGTGCCACAACATGATGTGACACATTATGATTGGTGCCACAACTATCACACATCATGTTGTGGCACCATAGAATTTCTGAATAAATATTGCAAACCTAATGAATGTGAAAATTATTATGATGACCAACTATAAAATCATTGAACAACTATGATAGTCAATGATTTGCAACAATAGATTATATAGTTCATCTATCTTCCAAATAAATAACATTGAAAAGAGAATGTCGGAGTCTGATCAAAGACGTTTTTGCTAAATGAATTAACAAAAAAATTTGCAGTACTATTGATATATTGAGTTTCAACCGGTATGATTGTTTATTATGGAAACTTCAAAATCTAACTGAAAGGAAACCACGCTAGAATCATCTGGCATAAATAAATAAAAGAGCTAATGCAACTTGTTATTTAGTTTTTTTTTTCCCCATTGATAGGACTAAGGTTTTATATATTTTTGTTGGAGTTGTAAAATGTTATTTTATTCTTTTTGTATTAGGATATCATTATGTTATTTTGAAAAAAAATTACATCACAAGCCTTTTCGTTTTACATTTTATTTAGTTTCTGCAACGATATGTTTAATAAATTAAGTAATTTCTTTTACAAAATTTAAGTGTCAAAATACATTTGTCATCACGTGCATCGCACGTGCATTTTACTAGTATTTGTAAAAAGTGAAAACACGGAAAAGCTCCATTTGCTGGCCACATATGAAGTTTCTACTTGATACACTGCAATTTTTAGAACTTTTATTTAACTACAACTCCTGATAATCATGTCAGAACTGTAGAAAAAATATAGCAAAATACATGAACGAAAACATTGCAAGAATGTCAGATTTTCAAAGCAAAACCACAAGGCAAAAGGCTTCTTCCTTTTTTCTTTGTTTATTAGTAGAAGTATTTTCCTTCCATTAATTATATTTAAGTCCTCCACAAATCAAATGAACGGAATGTATGTGTCATATTGTAGCTAGTTGATGTACGGATTATTATTGTTAGTATAACGGCAGTTGAGGCGAATCTCTCCTTGCTTCCCTCTCAACACCTTGAGACTGCTCATTCTAGTGACCGACAGTGCAAATGCCCTCTTAAACTTCTCCATGCTCCCGGCGTACTCGAATGCCAATTGAAACGTGTTGTAGTTGTACAGAAGCCCTTGGTCCACCCCTAGTACCGAATCGAATGATAGAACATTAGAGTAATATTTGTTTGTGAACCTGTACTGAGCTCCGCTTTGACTGGTCAAGAACACGGTTGGATCTTTGTTCCTTAGTGTTTGTCGGCATTGTTGCCTCAGGTTGTCGAGCGTGGCTCTGCTCATGCTGGGATCGGGCTTCCCGGTGTTGTTGAAGTTGTAAAGCTGGTCGTTTATGTACGAGCAGTGTGTCTTCCCCAAGGTATGTGAACCCGGTAATTACGAGGAGCACTCTTTTAAGTTCGAGCAGTAAAATATGTTGTTTTTTTGTTTCGACATGGGAATTATGTTAGAGATTTTGACCTAGAAGTGTAGCATAATCTTGTGAATCAAAGCCCTTGGATTGGAAGTAAGCCAAGCCTTGTGTCGAAGAAATTGAAGGCAATGGGAGATCGACCGAGGATGCTTTTGAGTCCATTCCATCTCTTCTTCCCAGCAGCACTGGGTAAGATGGGCACCTGCCTGCTCAAACACAACTATCTATTTTTAAGCATTTTAAAAGATGTGATATAAATAGTTCTTCTCAATCATTTTACATACAATGTTAGTTTTGGGTAAAATAAAACGATGACTTAGCTATAATTTGCTTGTAATTAATTAAAAATAAAATAAAATAAAGGATTTTCTTGTCTCGTCAGTTAAGATTTATCTCACTGAAATGAAAATATGAAATATTTGTACTCTTCGAGGAAAATTAGATTACCAAGTGAAGAGCATCTCGAGCAGCGAGAGTAAAGAATGTCAGCACAAGATACTGTTTTAGGACATGGATCTTCAAGCACCTTCTTTATCTTGTCTATCAGTACAAAACCATCCAAACCCGCGTTCTGTGGAGCTTTTTTCTCTGTGTGGGGCCCGTCCAGAAGAACCGACCCGTCGCACCCCTGAATTTTGTTTAATTTATTACAACAATATTTAGAAACTAATTATTTATCCAATAAAAAGTTAGGGAAATGTTACGGTCCCGTTATGGACACTACAAAAAAACACTACAATTCCAATGAAAAATTCCAACGGCAAAAATTTTCGTTGGAAATTCCAATGAATATTCCAACATACTTAATTTTATGTTGGAATAAGTGTTGGATAGTTGAGGAATTCCAACGGATTTTTTCCGTTGGAATAGCTGTAGGAATTTATTTCCATAGGATTTTCCGTTGGATATTTGCTATTCCAACTGCCGTTTTTCCAACGAATTTTTATACGTAGAATATTCGTTGGAATATCCAACGGAAATATAAAAAATTCCAACGGAAAATTTCCGTTGGAATGTAAGAGTTTTTTTTGTAGTGGGAACAATTCTGTTGGGGTATGTAATCGTTAGATTAACTATCTCTGACGGTTACCTGATAATCTAACGGTTACAAACCCCGACAGAATAGTTTCATAACGGGACCGTAGCATTTTCAAAAAGTTAATTGTTCAGGCTGAAAGTAGAAACTACATATTAATAATTTTGAATTTTGGTATTATTTCATGATTCTTGTGCATACTT